CTTCTGACTTGGAGGGGAAAACCCCCCCGCGAGGAAGGAAAGAGAAGGGACGGTTCCGCTTTCGAAAGTTACTGAGATACAGGGCACCACCTGGACCAGTGGTTCTCAACCTTCCTGATGCCGCGACCCTTTAATACAGTTCCTCATGTTGTGGTGACCCCCGACCATAAAATTATTTTCGTTGCTACTTCATAACTAATTTGGCTACTGTTATGAATCGTAAGGTAAATATCTGATATGCAGGATGTATTTTCATTGTTACAAATTGAACATAATTAAAGCATAGTGATTAATCACAAAAACAATATGTAATTATGTATGTGTTTTCCGATGGTCTTAGGCGACCCCTGTGGAAGGGTCGTTCGCCCCCCAAAGGGGTCGGACCCACGGGTTGAGAACCGCTGACCTGGACGGTTGTAGGTCACGGCGGCATAGGTAGCTGCCCTTAAGGAGTGGGCTTCATGGCCTCGCGGTGTTTGATTTGGGGAATGAGATTTAAAAATAACAGTAAAATCAAAACGGATCATGATCATCATCTAGTCCCAACTGTGTTTAGGTGAGATGCCAGTAAAAACCGAATTGACATTGCTCTTCCAGTTTCATGTTTTAATATGGCCAATAAGTTCTGCAAAATGTCTTGACAATTCATGTAAAGATAATACTCCAAAATGTGAGCCCCTTTTCATAATATACAGCAATAACATCTGGCTATCTTTTTTTAAATCTGTAAAGTGTTATAGGAGGGTGGTAGAAGTTCTTCATTTTCTCATTTGGCTAGTTTTAGGAATAAATAGGACATCTTACACACCCATTTCTTAAATTCTACATCACTGCATTACTGATCGAAGCATAATATTATATGAATGACATGGTGTCATGACCAAAATTTTCACGGAAGAGATGGGAAAAGAACTCTTTGTAGATAGAAGAAAGATTATTTTTAGGGGATTGTCAGTTTGTGGGATTTGGACTTGAAATTTCTGGAAAGCTTAGGTGTTGAAAGTTGCTTTAAAAGTAACATTTTTCACTTTTTCATTCCAGTCCTTGGAGCCTGTTTTCTTTTGCCTTCTCTTAAATTTCTTTGGGCAGATTAGGTTAGTAATAGGAGCACAGACAAGATCCAAATGTTAGGTTAACATTTTCCCTCTACTACTTACTGGTTGCTTGACCTTGAGCAAGGCAAGATCCTTGACCTAGTTGCCTCAGTTTCTTATCTTACAAATGGAGATAATAATGGCATTTACCTGGAGGGGCATTTGTAAGGATTAAGTGTAGTGTAGGTGAAGTGCTTGCAAGAATGCCTGCCTCTACCCTAGCCGGTTTGGCGCAGTGGATAAGGGTCCCTTGCAGACTGAAGGGTCCCAGGTTTGAGTTCTGGCCAGGGCAAGTACCTCCGTTGCAGGCTCCTCTCCGGCCTGACTGGGGCGTGCTGGAAGGAGGCAACCACTCGATGTGTTTCTTTCATATCAACATTTCTCTTCGTCTTTCCCTCTTTCTTCCACTCTCTCTAATCAGTGGAAAAATATCCTCGGGTGAGAATTTTAAAATTTTAAAATAAGAATGCCTGCCTCGCCGTAACTGGTTTGGCTCAGTGGATAGAGCGTCGGCCTGCGGACTGAAAGGTCCCAAGTTCGATTCCAGTCAAAGGCATGTACCTTGGTTGCAGGCACATCCCCAGTAGGAGGTGTGCAGGAGGCAGCTGATCGATGTTTCTAACTCTCTATCCCTCTCCCTTCCTCTCTGTAAAAAAATCAATAAAGTATATTTAAAAAAAAAATGCCTGCCTCATAATAAGTACTATTCAAATTTTATTTAATTGCTATTACTATAATTTTATGATCATATAGTATAATCTTATGTTTCTGACCTCTCCACATACTAAATAATCAGGCAGAAATGTAATGAAAATAGAAATTTATTTAGACGGAGGAAACTTCAGGGGGCCAAATAAATTGAAAGCTTATTTTCTTTTTGCAGACTCTTAGGGAATATATTTGATGCATTAGAAAACTGTTCACAACCAAATGATTGGATGAAGCCTTTGTTTTGGTTCCTCCATCTGGATGAGGACTTCATATTTATGTATACGTTTTTATTGATTTCAGGGAGAGGGAGAGAGAGATAGAAACATCAGTGATGAGAAAGAAGCATCGATCTGCTGCCTCCTACACGCCCCCCACTGGGGAATTGAGCCCACAACCCGGGCATGTGCCCTGACTGGAATCGAACTGTGACCTCCTGGTAGAATAACATTTTTAAATGTGTAAAATACAGTGAAAAGATTATAAACGTAATCATAAACTTACATTATAAAATACTTCTGAGATTTGTTTTAATTAAGTATTTTACTTTTTTTTTTTTTAAATATATTTTTATTGATTTTTTACAGAGAGGAAGGGGAGAGAGATAGAGAGTTAGAAACATCGATGAGAGAGAAACATCGATCAGCTGCCTCCTGCACATCTTCTACTGGGGATGTGCCCGCAACCCAGGTACATGCCCTTGACCGGAATCGAACTATAAACGTAATCATAAACTTACGCTCTATCCACTGAGCCAAACCGGTTTTGGCATAAGTATTTTACTTTTATTTATAAATCAAAACAGTAACATTTGTCACGAATACTGTTAGCATTCTTTTAATTTATTGGAGTGACATTGGTTAATAGGATCATGTAGGTTTCAGGTGTGGATTTCTATGTTACAAGATCTGTATGTTTTACTGTGTGCCATCACCCAAAGCCAAATCATCTTCTGTCACCATATATTAGGTCCCCTTCATGCCCCCCCCCCGCCACCTCCACACCTTCCCTCTGTCAACCACCACACTGCTGTTTGTGTCCATGAGTTTCAGATTTATATCCCACATATGAGTGAAATCATATGGTTCATAGCTTCTTCTGCCCGACTTATTTCATTTAGCATATTATCTGCCTTTGCTGGAATTTCTCATTTCCTTTTTTTTTTAATTGAATTTATTCGGGTGACACGGTAGAGGGTGTGTGTAGGAGGCAGCTGATTAATGTGCTCTCACATCGATGTTTCTCTCTTCCTCTCTAAAAACCAATAAAAATATGTTTTAAAAGATGTTAAGGGAAGAAATGTGTTACTGGTTTTGGTATCTTATATAAAGCTAAATATGAGAGTCATCTATCCTGTATAATAAAAGCCTAATGTGCAAATCGGCCAAATGGCAGAACAACCGGTCGTTTTGACACACACTGACCACCAGGGGGCAGATGCTCAACACAGGAGCTGCCCCCTGGTGGTCAGTGCGCTCCCACAGGGGGAGTGCAGCTCAGCCACAAGCTGGACTGACAGCTGATGAGCGCAGTGTCGGTGGCAGGAGCCTCTCCCGCCTCCACAGCAGTGCTAAGGATGTCAGTCAGACATCCACCAAGGGCTCCCGGCCTGCTAAAGGACGGAGGCCAGGCTGAGGAACAACACCACCTCCCCCCCCACCCCCCAGTGCATGAATGTCATGCACCGGGCCTCTAGTATTAAACTAAAAAGCTGGGGGGAAAATAAAGGAAGATAAGGATGCAATGTGCCCTATTATTATTTTCAAATATATTTTTATTGATTTTCCAGAGAGGAAGGGAGAGGGTTAGAGAGTTAGAAACACATATGATAGAGAAACATTGATCAGCTGACTCCTGCACAACCCCACTGGGGATCGAGCCTGCAACCAAGGTACATACCCTTAACTGTAATTGAACCTGGGATCCTTCAGTTCCCAGGCCGATGCGCTATCCACTGAGCCAGATTGGTCAGGACTGTGCCCTATTATTAACAATGTTTTGTATGACTTCTTGTTGTTTAATTTATTGGAGTGACGTTGGTTAATAAAATTAAATAGGTTTCAGGGGTATAGTTCTATAATGCGTCACCTGTATATTGTGTGCACCCCAAATCAAGTCAGTTTCCATCACCATTTATTTATTCACCCTTTATCCACTCCTACCTTCCCTACCCCCAGTTGGCTTCTGGATTAGAATGTAAAGAAGCTGGTGAATAATGCATGTAATAGTTTTATTATTTTACTTCTCTAGTGTTAAAAGATAATTTTCAGAAAAATGTGAATACATGTTAAAATTTTTATTTTACTCATGTAAGGGAACTGGGCAAGTCAAACAGTACAAATTAATAAGGACTAAAGGAATGTTGAGATGAAATTGCAAATGGGGTCAAACACTTTTTTTTCAGAGTGTAGGGAAGGCACTTTGCACCTCTACCTTTAGAGACAGAATTTGCACTACTAGTTAGTTATCCACAACTTGAAAAAGAGATGTAAGGTTAGTCAAAGGCAACTAAGAGGGCTATATAATCTGATACCATGGAAGAGTGTATAGTGTATAGTGCATAGTTTTCCATCGAAACCCAAAATTGTTTTCTACACTAGATTTTAACTGTTTAAATACAACTGGGAGGTGGGGAGAAATTGGGAAAGAGAAAAACAGTGATTTTAGCCTAGGAACTGAACTTTAAGATTTTACATTTTTATATCTCTTTAAAGGCAGATTATGTTTACATTAAGTTACAATTCAAGTTTCTTTTAAGGATGTCATTTTGGTAGGAACCATTTACAGCTTTGAAAGCCACCCCCAAAAACTACTTTTTTAAAAATTATAAATCTTTATTGTTGAAAGTATTACATAGGTCCTCCTTTTCCCCCTATTAACCCACTCCCATCCTCCCTCCCACCCCCATTAAATGAATTTTTAATATACTTTTGTCCCTCTAGTTAAGTTTAACCTTTATAATATAAAGCTAGCTTTAGGAAGCAGTAATTTAGAAACAGTCCCTAAGGCAATGGTTCCTAGACTGTATTCTCGTAGATGTTAATAGGCACTCCAAGAAAAAAGGCTTTCTCTAGAATGTGGTTAACTACTGCCCTAATGTTACAGATTTAAGTAAATCTCTATTTCTAAAAATACATTGTAATATGTAATCAAAGGAGGTGAAATCCTCTTCTGAGATTAGAGGGCCATCAATATATCTTGTGGACTGGAGATTAGGTAAAAATTAGGTGAATTTTCAAGGTTTTCTGCTGCCATTTCTACTTTGGAAGGGAATTACTTTATAGAGTATCTGGAGCTCTAACATACAGGGTGGGGCAAGAGTAGATCAAGAGTTGTGAGTTAACGGAACAGTTTATTATATTAGTTATTATATTGTTTTCCATATGAACAGCTGTAAACCTACTATGCCCCACCCAGTATTTATGAGTATCATTATTTTAGAGCTATGAGTCAAATTTCAGTTGTACAGAATATGTAGGACTTCTTTTAGAGACTGGAGGGAGGGGGAGAGACAGAGAGAAACATCCATGTAAGAGAGACATTGGTTGCCTCCCACACAAGCCCTGACCAGGGCCAGGGATCTAACCTGCAACCTAGGTACATGCCCTTGACAGAAATCTATCCCAGGACCATTCAGCCTGAGGGCTGACTATATCCACTGAGCCAAACCGGCTATGGCAAGCATGTCAAACTCAAAGGTTAACACGGGCCAAATAAACAAGGCATGTGGCCCATGGGCTGCAAGTTTGACATGCTTGGGCTAGGGCAGTGGTCGGCAAACTGCGGCCCCTTGAGTGTGGCTCTTCCACAAAATACCACGTGTGGGCGTGCACTACAGTGCGATTGAAACTTTGTGGCCACACTCAAGGGGCCAAAGAGCGCATGTGGCTCTCGAGCCGCAGTTTGCCGACCACTGGGCTAGGGCATTAAGTCAGATTTAGGAGTCAGAGCTTTGGGTGTGAATTTCAGCAACCCTAACATGCAAAAGACGACTTAGGCTCTCCTTTTGTTTGTTTTCTTTTTTCTTTTAAATTTGGTTCTCTTTCTATTTTTTTTTTATTTGCTACTTAGGCTCTCTTAGACTTCTTGTGTGGAGACCATTGTGTTGCTATTTAAAGGCAGCATTAGTACTGTTTTTCTGATTAGCTTTTTTTGTTTATATTTTTGCTGAAATATCAAATATCCACAAGTTCTAATGTGTAGCTGGTTTGCTTTTTATCCTTTGGAAATAGGAATAAAATGTTCCATTACTTACAGAATTTATTAATTATTTCTTTTAGGTCATTCAGTAGCTGTCCAGTAAAAAATCATTTGCTGCCTGAGTGTAGTATTACTATTTTATGTAATTTTTTTCTAACTTACTGCTTACAGGATGATGCTGTCAGTATAGAAAGTGGAACAAACACTGAACGCCCTGATACACCTACAAATACACCAAATGCACCTGGAAGGAAAAGCTGGGGGAAGGGGAAATGGAAGTCCAAGAAGTGCAAATATTCTTTCAAATGTGTAAATAGTCTCAAGGTATGTGCAGAAAGACAAATCCTGTTAGTTGAATGCTAAGCTGCAAAATTATTTACCAGTGGTAAACATTTTATGCTCAAGATACTCTGTCAAGTTAAAAATATTTTTAAATTACAGTACTTTTTGACGTTTTGTTTTTATAGTATAGACTGCATAGTTATAATTCACTCTACTTTCATTTAGCTTTTCATTTTGTCTTAAATGGGTAATACCTAATACTGCAGGCTAGTTTTTCTTTATTGTTTATATTCAAATAAAAGGTTTTGGAAAATGTATTTTGATAAAATTTTAAAAGTATATGCTACTTTCAGGTACTTATTCCTAAAAAGAACTGAATGTGACTCATTAATTTTGAGCCAGCATAAATTGAAACACATGCCTTAGTTTCTGCAGTTTAAAAGAATTTAACTCTTAACTGTTTTATTTGTGATTGTTTTCAAAGAAAAGGATATAAATTAAAAATTTTTTGATTATGTAGAAAACAAGTGGTTGAGGTTATTTAAATGACTACTTCCTCAATAGTATCTTTATTTATAAAAGGGATTAGTGGAATTTAAGATGTTTTTCTTTACATGTATTCATTATTGGTTTAAATTTGGGGGTGTTTTCCTTCGCTGAGCAGAAATGTGCATTACATTGTCTTATACATGTATGAAAGAATCTTTTCTAAATATGTATTTCAGGTAAAGTCTTCAGAAAGCATAAGCGACTATGGCTATGTGGAAATTATTTTCTGTCTGTAGCAAAATTCTTTGTTCAGTGTATGTCAAATTATACTCTTAAAGAGAGAGGTTAATCTTGGTTATATATTTTTTATAAAGGGAAAGTGCCCATTAGTTTCGTATTAATATTCAATTATATCAACCTATTTTTAGATAGTATGTCTAGAAGGTTGTTTTAACTGTCAGTTAAATATTTCAATTAAATATTTCAAAGCATTAAATCTATGGTTTTTTAAGGGTAATAAAAGTTGTTAGACTTTAAAAGTAAAAACAGTCCCTTGAAGTGAATATGAAAATTAATGTTAAATGCCAAGAGATTGCCAGTAAAATCCTGAGAATAACTTTGTGAACACTTGTTTTTTATATATGTCCTTATAGCCAGCCTACTAGCAACTAAAGGTATAGTCCATGGCTTCCCCTGCCCCCTATTGTTCAATTACCATACTTGTTTATTACAAAACTTTGGGTGTTTTTCTTTTAGGACCCAAATTCAAGGTTATTTAAAATTGTTTCTATAGCACTAATAGAAAGCAGTGATTTGCGTCTGGTGTGCTTCAGTTTACAAGGGAAAAATTAAACCTAATAAAGTTTAGCTAGTGCTAAGCCACTCTTACTTAGGTCATTTGTTAGTTTACAATTTCAGAAAAATAAATTTTGTCCTTATGTTCTGAGAAATGAATGCATTTGCCATAATTACCCAGTTTTGTTTTGATTCCAAAAAATATGGTTGGGTGTGAGAACATAGAAGGCAAATATAAAAGTATTTTCATAAATAAGTGCTTGTTACCTAACTTCTGATTTAAGTCATTGGTTATCATAAAACTTTATCATATACTAATATCTTAAAACTAGAGGCCCGGTGCACAAAAATTTGTGCACTCGGGAGGGAAGGGGGGGTCCCTCAGCCCGGCCTGTGCCCTCTCGCAGTCTGGGACCCCTCGGGAGATAACGACCTGCTGGCTTAGGCCTGCTCCTGGGTGACAGAGGGCAGGCCCAATCCCTAGGTGCAGCCCTGGTCGGGCTCAGAGCAGGGCTGATTGGGGAGTTGGGCGCCGC